TTATGATGATAAAAAAAGAAACACAATCCTTCATGAGTAGCAAGTCATTTTTCATCAATTTATATTTTGTTTGCATAGCACTTTTAACAATGGACATTTTTCACAAAGAAACTTTACATAAATAAATTAGTCATGTGTGTACATTAGGCGGAGAAAATGCGTTTTAGCAAGTTTCAAAGCGCCAGAGCGTCAGGAAAGCCGTTTTTCATTAAAACACGTGTTCAATAATTCCAATATAGGTTTCTTCACATTGTTGTGGCATGATTGTTCATATTATAAGCCGTTCTTCATTGAAGGCACATACGTGGACAGCGGTTTTTCAGATTGCCATGATAGAAAATGAGATGAAAAATAACTGTTTACTAAAACTAATATTTTGATAAAATAGTGCTAAAAAGACAAAATCGTGACAAATCATTTGCTGAAAATCCTTTTTCATCAAATATAGGGCTGCATATTATTTTCTCAATGAATGTCTATGTACTTAGACATTTGCGAGCATTAGGCGCTGAAAATGCATTTTTTTTTTAGCAAGTTTCAAAGCGCCATAACGTCAGGAAAGCCGTTTTTCATTAAAACACATTCATTGCATATGTGTTTAATAATTTCAATAATGGTTTTTCACATTGTTGTGGTGTGATGAAGCATGATTGTTCATATTAAAATTCATACTTTGATATTATGGTGGTTAAAAAAAAAAAAAAAAAAAAAAAAAAAAAAAAAAAAAAAAAAAAAAAAAAAAAAAAAAAAAAAAAAAAAAAAAAAAAAAAAAAAAAAAAAAAAAAAAAAAAAAAAAAAAAAAAAAAACCTCCATCCTACCAAATCATGTATGGAAAGCGATTTTTCATCAAGTGCAGTACAGCATATTGTCTTCTAAGTGCTTACTCATGTGTCTGCATTAAGCGGAGAACATGCGTTTTAGCAAGTTTCAAGGCGCCAGAGCGTCAGGAAAGCCGTTTTTCATTAAAACAAATACATGCACATCTGTTTAATAATTTCAGTAAAGACACACATTGACACAAAGACACACATTTTCACATTGTTATGATAGAAAATACATGAAACATGGTTGTTTATATCAAAATTCATATTGTGATAATATAATAATTAAAATAAATCATGTCTATAAAGTCATTTTTCATCAACTATGGCTAAAGCATATTATTTTCTCAACGACTTGCCTAAGCGCTTTCTCATGTGTGGAGGCGGAGAAAATGCGTTTTAGCAAGTTTCACGGCACCAGAACGCCAGGAAAGCCGTTCTACATTGCGTTCGTGGACATTCGTGCCCTATATTCAATCGAGGTTTTTCAGATTGTCCTGATAGGAAATGAGATGAAAAATAACTGTATAGTTTGATAAAATAGTGAAAAAAGGGACATGAAATGGAAAGGGAAGAAAGGGAACAACTCGTGCTGAAAGTCATTTTTCATCAAATATGGGTCAGCAAATTATTTTCTCAAGGAATTTCTATGTACATTTACGTGCATTAGGTGCTGAAAATGCGTTTTAGCGAGTTTCAAAGCGCCAGAGCGTCAAGAAAGCCAATTTTCATTAAAACATGTTTAATAATTTCAATAAAGTTTTTTCACATTGTTATGATGGAAAAGGCCATGAACCATGATGGTTTATATTAAAATTCATACTTTGATTTTATGATGATTAAAAAAAAAAAACCTCAATCCTAACAAAACGTGTAGATAGTGATTTTTCATCAACTACGGTACATTGTATTCTTTTCTAAACCACTTCGTAAGTGCTTTCTCATTAGCAGGAGAAAATGCGTTTTAGCATGTTTCAATTCGTCAAAACGCCACGAAAAGCCGTTCTTCATTGCAGACACATTAGTGGACATTCCGTGTCATACTTTAACTAGAGGTTTTTCACATTGTTATGATAGAAAATGAGGTGGGAAAAATGGTTACATTAAAATTCATATTTTGATAAAATAATGATAAAAAGACAAAATCTTGATAAATTATTTGCTGAAAGTTCTTTTTCATCAACTATGGCACAGCATTATTTTCTCAACTTACTCGCATTAGGCGCTGAAAATGCGTTTTAGGACATTTCAAGGCGCCAGAGCGTCAAGAAGTCCGTTGTCCATTGGAAACATGTATGTTCACTTCCATTTCAATTCAATTCAATTTATATTTTGTTTGCATAGCACTTTTAACAATGGATGTTAAAAGTGCCATTCACGATATAAATTGTAAATGTATGAATTTATCCATAATGAGCAGAGACGATGGTAGCAAGGAAAAACTCCCTGAGACCATATGTGGACGAAACCTTGAAAGGAACCGGACTCAAAAGGGAGCCGATGCTCACCCGGGTTACAACGGATAGTGCAATTATAAATAAATCCCTTCTATAACGTGTGCTACATGAACAAATAGGGCAATTGTGTAGCCAGGAACTTGATCACAGTTTTCAAATGAAGTATGTTTTGTTGAACCTATCCACCGTCAACTGAGTGCAAAACTGCTCGTGGCAAAGCCACCACGGCAATCGCAGTCACAAGCCATTACAACTGCGATCTCCAACCGATGAGAACTCCAACCAGAAGTAGGGCATCAGGATGGATCAGGCAGGTCCAGAGATCAGAAGGGGTCAGGATTACTGGTATCTCAGGAGTAGCATGTGTAGCTCGACAGAGAGAGAGAGAGAGAGAGAGAGAGAGAGAGAAAGAGAGAGAGATTTTTAGGTATGATTTTTGTCCCGTAATGGGTAAAGACAATGTACTTTGCGTGCTAGCTCTGACAGCATAACTAAAAGGGATAGTCAGGAGGTATGTTAACGTTTGTATTGGGTGTGCCCTCACACTGTTCATGTCATATGTGACCTGTCTTCCACAAAAGGACATACGCAAATAAAAAGGCAGTTCCGGTTCAACAGAATACTGAGTAGTGAGCATGTTTTTTCCTCCGTATAATTTAATGTAATTTACCGGTTACCATACGCAAGAATGGCTGCGCCAACGAGGTAACATAGACATGAGGGCACCCTGGGTCATAAAGCAGCCAGCCACTCCAGCCTCAACAAACCTGTAAGAAAGCGTGAGAGCGGTGCATTCAAACATCCCAGTTTACCACAACACTCTATGCCTGTGAACCTTCCAGGTCTGCTACAGAAGAAAAATGTATTCACTTACCAAATATGTTTTCAGCCGAGACTTCAACACTGAGACTGAATCTGAGTCCCAAACACTAATTGGAAGTCTCTTCCAAAACTGAGGGCCTTTGTAAGAGAAAGCTCTTCCCCATGCTGTTACTCTTCGAGGTACCAACAAATACGCTGCACCTTTTGATAGAAGTAGGCGTGACGGATCATAACAGACCAAAAGTTTGCTCAGGTACTGAGGCACGAGACCATTCAATGCTTTATAGGGATCATAACAGACCAAAAGTTTGCTCAGGTCTGTAGTAGTATTTTATAATCAAAGTGAAATTTGATTGGTAGCCAAGGCGGTGCGGATAAGATAGGATGCTATGGTCATATCTTCTAGTGGTTCTAGTAAAGACCCTCACTGCTGCATTCTGGACTAACTGGAGCTTGTTTGTGCACATACTGGAAAATCCAGACAGGCATTACAGTAATCCTACCTAGAGATAAAAAAAAAGCATGAACTAATTTTTCTGCTTCAATGTTTCTGCATCAGTCAAATAAGACCTGAGCTAGGAGAGGGCCATTCACTTAATACCAACATCATTTATGTACATAGCCAGGGCTAACTTCAATTCAGTGTCATACTTTCAATAGAGGTTGTTTACATTATTTTCATGGAAAATTACATGAAGAATGATTGTTTATATTAAAATTCATATTTTGATAATATAATGATAGAAAGAACAAATCTTTTTATCATTATAATGATTTTTTTGTCAACTCTGGTACAGCATATTGTTGTTTAAATGACTGCCTAAGTGCTTACTCATGTGCACACGCATTAGGCACTGAAAATGTGTTTGAGTGAGTTTTAAGGTGCCAGAGTGAACTACAGTCCAAAGTCATCTCCACGGTCCCCAAGCGGCACAATCCGCAGCAATCCAAATGATCTTCAGGAAGTCCACGTGGGGCCACCCCCAGCAGCAGCGAGCGATCTCCAACCGATGAGAACTCCAACAAGAAGTATGGATCAGGCAGGTCTTGTGAGCAGAAGGGTCAGAATAACTGGTATCTCAAGAGTAGCATGTCATGCTTCATGTAGTATGTCATGCTTCATGTCCTTTTCCTCCACAGAGAGAGAGAGAGAGGGAGAGGGAGAGAGAGGTATGTTAGCTATTTGAAAGAGAGGATTGTTAGGTATGCTTTTTGTCCCATTAATGGTTAACCAATGTACTTTCTGTGCAGAGTGCAAGCAGGGACTCCAGCAAGACTAGCTATGACAGCATAACTAAAAGGGAGAGCCAGAAGTTAACACAGACATGAGGGCGCCCTGTGTCATAAAGCGGCCAGCCAGTCCACCGTCAACAAACCTGAGAGTGGGAGGGGCGACAGCATCCAAACATCAGTGAGACAAACAGTGAGACTAAGTCTGAGTCCCGAACACTAATTGGAAGGCTGGTCCATAACTGTGTGGCTTTGTAAGAGAAAGTCCTACCCCCCTGCTGTAACCTTCACTACTTGAGGTACCAACCAAAAGCCTGCACCTTTTGATCGAAGTAGGCGTGATGGATCATAAAAGACTAAAAGTTTGCTCAGTTACTGAGGCACGAGACCATTCAGTGCTTTATAGGTCAATAGTATTATTTTATAATCAATGCAAAATTTGATTTGGAGCCAATGTAGTCTTGATAAGATAGGGGTGATGTGGTCATATATACTGGTTCTATAAAGGACTCTCGCTGCTGCGTTCTGGACTAACTGGAGCTTGTTTATGCAGCTACTGGAACAACCTAGAGGTAACAAAAGCATGAACTAATTTTTCTGCTTCGTGTAGTGACATTATATTTCAAATATTTTTAAAATATGGTACAAAATATTGTTTTGTAAAACAATATTTTGGAGGACTAGTGGTTAGGCCACAGCTCTCTCACCTCTGGAGCCTGGGTTTGATTCCCAGCCAGGGAACCAACCCCAGCCACTGGGGTGCACTGAGTGCAAAGTATAAAATTGGGGAGGGTTGCGTTAGGATGGGCATCCAGTGTAAAAACTGTCAATGATCTGCTGTGGCAACCCCTAAAAGGAGCAGCCAAAGTTGTTTTCTAAATGACTCTGTATGTGATTATACGTGTGTGTGCATTAGGTGGAGAAAATGCGCTTTAGAAAGTTTCAAGGTGCCAGAGGGACAGGAAAGCTGTTTTTCATGAAAACACATAGGTAGCATATATTCAGTTGAGGTTTTTCAGATTTTTATGATGGAAAATGATATGAAACGAGATTGTTTCTATTGTCTTAAACAAGTGTGTGCATTAGTCACTGAAAATGTGTTTAGTGAGTTTCAAGGTGTCAGAGCAGCAGAAAATGCATCGTTAATTGAAAAAGCATACATGCACATCCGTTTCAATTTAATTCAATTTCAAGTTTATTTGTATAGCACTTTTAACAATGGACAAAACAGCTTTACAGAAATAAATACATTCAGAATATAAATTGTAAATGTATGAACTTATCCATAATGGGCAAGCCAGAGGCGTCATTGGCATGGAAAAAGTCCCTGAAACGATATGAGGAAGAAACCTTGAGAGGAACCAGACTCAAAAGGGAATCTGGGTGACAACAGATAGTGCAATTATAAATAAATCCCTTCTGTGACTGTGTACAAATAGTGCAATTGTGTAACCAGGAAATTGATTACAGTTTTCACATGAAGTCTGTTTTGTTGGACCTATTCACTGTCTGATTGAGACCTAAGTTCCCAGCAACCGCAGCCCCAGAGCCAGCAATTGCAGTCCCAAACCATCACAGTACAACTGCCCATGTGAACTGCAGTCCAAAGCCATCTCAGTGGTCCCCAAGTGCAGCAATCCCAATGATCAGGCCGTCCTGGTTGGGTCACCCCCACCAGCAGCGAGCGATCTCCAACCGATGACAACTAACCAGAAGTAGGGCGTCAGGATGGATCAGGCATATCCGGAGAACAGAAGGGGTCAGGATCACTGGTATCTCAGGAGTAGCATGTGTAGCTCAACACAGAGAGAGAGAGAAGAGGAGAGAGAGAAAGACAGAGGTATGTTAGCTATTTGAGACAAAGCTAGGTATAAAACCATTATTTTGCCCCATAATGGTTAAGGAAGATGTACTTTGTGTGCAGAGTGCAAGTAAGAACAGTGAGACTGAGTCTGGGCCCTGAACACTAATTGGAAGGCAGGCTAATTGGAATAACTGTGGGGCTTTGTAAGAGAAAGTTCTACCCCCTGCTGTAGCCTTCACTATTCAAGGTAACAAAAAATAGCCTGCACCTTTTGATTGAAGTAGGCATAACGAATCATAAAGTTTGCTCATGTACGGAGGCGTGAGACCATTCAGTGCTTTGTAGGTTAATAGAAGTATTTTATAATCAATGCGAAATTTGATTTGGAGCCAATAAAGTGTGGATAAGATTTTATAATCAATGCGAAATTTGATTTGGAGCCAATAAAGTGTGGATAAGATAGGAGTGATATGGCCACATCTTCTGGTTCTAGTAAGGACACTTGATGCTGCATTCTGGACTAACTGGAGCTTGTTTATGCACCTACTGGAACATCCAGACAGTAAGGGATTACAATAATCCAACCTAAAGGTAACAAAAGCATGAACTAATTTTTCTGCATCATGTAGTGACATTATATTATAAGATCTTAGCAATATTTCTGAGATGAAGGAAGGCTATCCTAGTAATATTATCTACGTTAGCTTCACATGAAACACTGGAGTCAATAATCACAACCAAGGGTCCTTTATGATGAAACATGATGAAACAGAAAGGCCATGCAGAGTTAGTACGTAATGAGAGAGCTAGCCTATCTATCTATCTTTCTAGCCTATCAAGGAGCATGATCAGACGCTGAAATAAGGTCAAGCAAACACAAGCAAGGAGACATGATCAGAGGCCAGTAAATTTACCACTTACCACTTTAACCATCGCTGTCTCTGTGGCTAAATAATGGCAATGAAATAACCTCCTATGTAGGTATGAGCATAACGGCTGTGCTACAACCTTTTCTAAAATCTTGGAGACAAAGGGGAGGTTTGATATTGGTGTATAGTTGGAAAATTGACAGGGATTGCAGTCAGATTTTTTAAATCAGGGGGTTTGATAACTGCTAGTTTAAAAGATTTATGTAAATACCCAGGGCTAATTCAGTGTCAACCTCTTTCGGTAGAGGTTGTTTACATTATTTTGGTGGAAAATGAATGTTTATATGTTAATACATAAAGAATGATTGTTTATATTAAAATTCATATTTTGAAAATTTATTGATAAAAAGAATAAATCGTGACAAATAATGTGTAGAAAGTGATTTTTGTCAACTATGGTACAGCATATTGTTTTCTAAATGACTTACACGTGTGTGCATTAGGCACTGAAAATGCGTGTTAGCAAGGCGCCAGAGGGGCAGGAAAGCCGTCTTCCATGCAAATACATAGGTGCGCATTTTTCCCTATATTTAATAGAGGTGTTTCGCATTGTTATGATGGAAATGATATGAAACATAATTGTTTTAATAAACTTCATATTTTGACAACATAATTATAAAAAGATAACATAATTATAAAATTTAAAATTTATTTAAAAAAATTAAAATTATAAATCTTGACAAATCATTTGTAGAAAGTCATCTAACTCAACTAAAGCATATGGTTTTCTCAACGAATGCCTATGTGCTTAAAAAAAAGTGTTTTTGGCAAGTTTCAAAGCACTAGAGCGGCAGGAAAGCCGTTCTTCATGGAAACACTTACGTGGACATACGTATGTACATACGTATGAGATTTTTCACATGATGGAAAGGAAATGAGGCATGATTGTTTATATTAAAATTAATATTTTGATATTATGATGATAAAAAAACTCAATCCTAACAAATCATGTGTAGAAAGTGATTTTTCATCAACTGTGGTACATAGACATCCGTTTCATACTTTCAGTAGACGTTTTTCACATTGTTATGATAGAAAATGAGCTGAAAAATAACTGTTTATTTAAAATTCATATTTTGATAAAATAGTGATAAAAAGACTAAATCTTGACAAGTCGTGTTGAAAGTTATTTTTCATCAAACATACAGCATATTATTTTCTCAACGACTTTCTATGTACTTACACGTGTGTGTACGTTTTAGCAAGTTTCAAGGCGCCAGAGCGTCAAGAAAGCAGTTTTCCATGCAAACACATACGTACACACAGTTATTCAATAGAGGTCTTTCACATTGTTATGATGCAAAATGATATGAATCGTAACTGTTAAAGTCATATTTTGATAATATAATTATGAAAAGACTAAATCGTGACAAATCATTTGTAGAAAGTTATCCTTCATCAACTATGGTAAAGCATATTGTTTTCTCAAAGAATGCCTATGTCTTAAAAAACTGTGTGCGTTAGGCGCTGAAAATGTGTTTCAGCATATTTCAAGATGCCATAGTGTTAGGAAAGCCGTTTTTCATTAAAACACATACCTGCGCATCCGTGTAATTATTTCAGTAGAGGTTTTTACATTGTTATGATGGAAAATGACACGATGCATGATTGTTTATATTAAAATTCATATTTTGATAACATAGTGATAAAAAGACTAAACCGTGAAAAATCATGTAAGTAATTTTTTATCAAATATTATTATTATTATTATTATTATTATTATTATTATTATTATTATTATTATTATTATTATTTAATCAAATATCAGCACGTTGTTTTCTGAACGACTGCTTATGTGATCACACAAGTACGTGCCTTAGGCGGAGAAAATGCGGTTTAGTAAGTTTCAAAGCGCAAGAGCGGCAGGAAAGCCGGTTTTCATGCAAACACATACGTGTCACATATTCAGTAGAGGTTTTTCTCATTGTCATGATGGAAAATGACACAAGCATAATCGTTTATATTAAAATTCATATTTTGATAATTATAAAAAGACTAATCCTGACAAATCACGTGTAGAATGTCATTTTTCATCAACTATGGCTATAGCATACTATTGTCTCTGAGCTTACACACGTAAGAGTTAGGAAAGCTGTTCTTCATTGCAAACACATACGTGGACATACGTGTCATATATTCACTAGAGGGTTTTCACATTGTTATTATGGAAAATGACATGATGCATTATTGTTTATATTAAAATCCATATTTTATCATTGTTAGAATCATTGTTATGATGATAAAAATACTCAATCCTAATCCTCAACTCCAATTAAAGTGATTTTCCATCAACTATGGTGCAGCATATTGTTTTCTAAACGTCTGCCTAAGTGCTTACTCTAATGCTAATCAATTAAAGCGATTTTCCATCAACTATGGTGCAGCATATTGTTTTCTAAACGTCTGCCTAAGTGCTTACTCTAATGCTTACATGATCAATGGTATCAAAAGCTGCAATAAGGTCAAATAACGAAACACAACCCCGATCAGAGGCCAGTAATAGGTCATTTACCACTTTAAGCAGCTCTGTCTCTGTGCTATGATGAGGCCTAAATACTGACTGATACAGTTCATTCCTATGTAGGTATGAGCATAACTGCTGTGCTACAAACTGTTCTAGGATCTTGGAGAATAAAGGTTGAAAGGTTAAAGAATAAAGGCATATTGGCCTGTAGTTGGACAATTGACAGGGTTTGAGGTCAGTTTTTTAATCAGGGGGTTGATAACTGCTAGTTTAAAAGATTTAGGTACATGGCCAGGGCTAACTTCAATTCAGTGTCATACTTTCAATAAACGTTTTTCAGATTAATTTGATGGAAAATGACACGAAGAATCATTGTTTATACTAAAATTCATATTTTGATAATATAATGATAAAAAGAGTAAATCCTGTAGAAAGTAATTTTTATCAACTATGGTACACCTATTATTTTCTCCACGAATGCTTATGTTTGTGCATTAGGCGCTGAAAAAGCGTTTTAGCAAGTTTCAAGGCGCCAGGGTGTCAC